ACTCTTAGGCAAACACTTCCACAGGGATGCTAGGCTGGCCATGTGACTTGTGTTAAGCACGGGGAAGTAGCAAATGTGCAATAAATGGAGACTTGTGGAAGGTGGTCAGACCTGCTCACTTCTCCAGGCTCCTCTTCTGCCAAGCCTGCTGTAGAGTAAGGACTGGTTGGAGGTGAGCCACTCCAGTGCCCCAGCTGTGGCCACTCCATGCCCACCAAGAGGAAGGAGTAGAGCCCAGTCCACATCCACAGGGACTGCTAGCAGAGCTACTCCCCATCCCAGGCCATGAGTGAGTCCCGCTAGGGCCAGACAAGCCCAGCCAACCTGCTCTAACTGGTCTAAGCCATGAATGTTGGAAGTAGTTTGTAAACCAGTATTGTTTTCTCAAAAGATAAACAAGATACCATTTGCTTCATAGATTCTCTTTGCCAAACACAGAATCAGAGGTATGCTTCAGAAAACAAGCCTAGAGGCCCTGCTTATTTCAGGTCATTCGTATGTGGGTAGATCTGCAACTTTGCAGAAAGATACCAGCTTTAGCCTGCAACTGTAGGATAGCAACAATTCATAACGTGATATTATGACCAACACTATTATTTACGTACTGAAATTTTATTTCTGGTTAAAATTATTATCTTACTGGCTCTAAGCACACACACAAACACAAGTATATAAAAGCAGTATCTACTCATGTCTTCCACAGTGTCACTGCAACAATTTCTTCTCCCCTGTGCTCTTACTCTGTATCCCTGTTCCCCTGAACTTCATGACTATTCTTCATTTTGATCTCACACATTACCTCATGGATGACTCCACAGACCTCCCAATTCAGTCAAGGTGTTCTCATTTTGTCATTTATTTCTTCTTGATAGCACTCACTGATTTAGTATATTTTTGTATTTATTTCTTCTGTTCTTATGTTAATCATCTGTCTGTCCTTACCTACAATTTAAGTTGCAAGAGAGTAGAAACTTTGCCTATCTTTGCTTACCATTTTGTTCTACCACTGACACAATGCATAGCCCGTAAAATAGTCAAGAATGACTTGGTGATTGAATAGTTAATTTAAAGCTATAAATAAAACAGTGAAAAGTTAATATAAAGTTAAACATTATTTGTACATTCAATTATATATGTTTTATCTTTTATTCTCTGTTATTCTTTCAGAGCACAGATATTGAAAAAAACTTAAATTTCTACAAAATAAGCTAATTAAATTAAGTGAAATCAATAGGACACACGTGTAAATACTGAAAAGTTTCTCTGGTGTGAGAAAATGAAAGTGTAAATAAGGATCAAAATGTATAATTCTTAATGTGAAATAGGAAGAAAAGGTTTAAAGGGGTAGGGGAGGTGGGAGGGGTAGGGGAAAGGAAAGAAGGGAAGGGAAAAATATGAGAAAAGGAAAAAATTGAATTGTTTTAAAACATCTAGAATATTTGGAGAAAAGCCTACAGAGTAAAGATAAGAAAGTTTGAGCACTTGAGCAATGTGACAAAGATTATTTATATTTACTGAAATCTAAACTGGTGTACCACATTACCAAGGAAAATGTTGCAAATAAATCTTATATATCAAATTAACAAATCTCTTCAAGACTCATTTAAGGGGTAATTTAACAATGGAATAAAAATATTCATAATAAATTTAAATATCAACATAATCATTTGTGTCCTTTGGTAAAAGTGAAAACAACATTTTCAAGAACAGATATTACCATTTAGTGGATGATTCTGCTTCTATTTGCAGTTAATTATATCTGTAATAGAAAATTGACATGAAGAGTTGGAATAATTGCATGGATTCTTATAAACAATTAAATCAGCACCAACGTTGTTAAATATAACTTTTAGAGATATAAAAAAATGAAAGAATATAAATAATTTCAATATAACATATTTAGATGTTATAGTATATTAAAATATATATATGTTAATGGGCCAGGGATTTAGCTCAGTGGCACCACGCCTGTCTCACATGTGCAAGTTCCTGAGTTCAATCCCTCATGCCGCAAAAATATATATGTTAGAATACACTACATGGGCAAGTTTTTCTGCATCTGCTTGGAATAAAAATGCTTATTTGGCCAGGGATTTAGCTCAGTGGTTCTGCCGCCTGCCTCGCAAGCACAAGGTCTGGAGTTCGATCCCCAGTACCAAAAAAAAATGCTTATTAGGTGATATTATAATATTTAATGTAGAGTGTGAACTTTTTGAGCCCATAAGATCAAGTTGTAAGAAAATAACAAAATGATCATTTAGTGAGCAATTTGCATATGTCTGTATTTTAAGTGCTAGACACTTTTTGTCTCTGGATAATAGAATTTCTAGCCTCAATTTATAAATGGAAAGTTAAGACTCTGAAAGATTAAGCAAACCTACTCATGGATATGTTCCTTGTAAATGGTATTATAAGGGTTTTAGCAGTATTTTATTTTAACTGCTGTACTCTTTTTATTTCAAAACCTTATCCCCTTTAATTACCCATCATTTATATCGCAAAAAGAATAGAACTATAAGTGAAGACATATGTACTTGTTATTATAACACGATTTTGGAAAACAAACCCCTTCTAAAACATTAACTGAAGCTATTCAATTATAAAAAGAAATTGACTCTTAATTGCAATTAAATTATTATTAATTATAATTAACTCCGTAATGCACAGTTTCTTCCAGTTTGTTCTTCAGAAGTATTCTATACAAAATGATGGACTGTTAGTCACCCTATTTAATATAAAAATAATAGTTCACAATGGCTAGTTCATTTTGTCTCCCATCATATCAATTAGCAACTACAAAGTCAGTACATAGAGGTTTGGGGTCCCTTCCAATTCTCTTCTTGTTCCTTCTTCCAAAGAGGACCTGAAAGAATAAACCTATTGCATTCATGCACATCTTGCAGATAGAAGAGCATCTATCTTTTCAAAGATGCTGGTAAAGGGAATAGCATTGGAAGGTTCATGTAATGCATCACTCTGGACCACAGAGCAGGCATGCATGCTGCTCTTTGTAAGTTGGAGGCTTCCTAAGCTTTGGGTTCCTCTCTTGTACTGCAAAGAACTGACATTCTAAGGATTTGATAGGATGATTTTTTTCTCTTGTTCTTTCTATCTTTATATATAAGGGAACTCTCATTGACTTCTAATGTTCGGTTATCCAATAGTTTTGATTTATCTAAGATAACTAGTTTCATGCTAATTTCCAAGAGTGTCTCTTGATTCTATTCCTTTTTGTTTAAAAAAAAAATCACAGATTTTTCTACATCAGACAGTCATATGTAAAATTTTAATCACATCCTTAAATATGGTTTTTAGTTTATTTTATTTCTTAATAAAAAGGTATAACTGCTGTTTATTTCCAACGTAAAGTTTACTTGAAAGTATATTCTGATACAAATTTGCTTTTTTCTGAAATTTTTTACTAGTGTAAAAAATTCAAATTATTAGGGTGCCTTCTGTCTTGATTTGGGGGTATTCATGCATTTCTCTATCTATAGGGCATCCTTGGATTCTGAGGGAAATAGTTAAATAATACCATCTCTTACAATGTCTACTTTGCTGGAACTGAAGTCTTCTATCTCTAATGAATAGCTAGGCATTAAAATTAGCAAGCTGTTTAAGTATGTTATTCAGTTACAGAATTTTTATTTGGGAACACCATGGTCAGAAAATGCTCTACTATATTTTGCTTATTAGTAACTCCAGGTGGGAGTAATTATTCAGGATTACAGCATTCCTTCTTTCACAAGCTAAATACTGTTCTTTGGTTGAAAATATTTATAAGCATTAAATTGTTGCTCCAAGTGTACTTTTTTTCTCCTGTTTTTGTTTTTGTTCATTTACCTTTTTCAGCCAGGCATATTCCTGGTGATTTTCAGCTCTTGTCAGTTTCTCAAGTAAATGTCTTTGTAGTTCCAGCCCACTGACTTATAGGGAATTTGTAACTTTGTAATGGTCATTTTCCAAATCTGAAATAATACATTTCAGAGATTTTAAAAGTTAAAACAGTAAATGTAATTTTAAAACATGCATGAAAATGCAAAAGTATGGAGACTAGCATTCAAGAACAGTGAGGGAAGTGGTGAATCCTGGGCAGGAGTGGTGTAATATACAGCAGTGATGAGCTACTAAGACACTGAGGAAATGAATCAGATGTGAACTATGTGCTAGCGACAGGTGTGTCCTTGAAAATTGGACCCTGCGAACCTGGAGACACCCTGGAGAAGAGCCTTACTGTCATAGCAGGGCAGTTAGAAAAGAAAGACACCTGCCAATGCCTTGGGGGCAGAGGCTGCAAATTAGCTTTTTATCTCTACAACACAACACAGTGCTAGGCATGAAGCGTTTTGAAAAAAGAGAACACGACAGAGTGTAGACAGTGTAATAAGCCACATATTACTTGAAAGAGGCTCTTTCCAGAGTAAGAATATTATTAAAAATTTCAGGGAAAATATAAGAAACTGTATCAGTTTTTTTTGATGAGGAATAAAACTAACATTGACTTTTAAACTGATAAAGCAGTGGAAGAAACAGGGATGCCAATAAATAAGCTATTTTCAGAAAAAAGCAGTTTTAAAGGTTTTGTGTTTGGCAAGGTTTTGTGTTTGGAAAATAAACCTAAGTAGGAGATAAAAGTCAAGATCACCACTGAGAGGTCAGTCACAAAAACATGCCCATGGAGGTCTTTTTCAGAGAAGTCACAGCCAAAATAGCCAAGATGTGAATTCACTCTTGGAAATTTCACTGCACACTTTAACAGCCATTTAGCCACATGCAGCTATTGGGTAGATGAAATGACAACAGTCCAAATAGAGATGCATTTTGGGTGTAAGTTTCACACTGATTTCATTCTTAATATGAAAACAAATAATGTAAAAGATCTTATGAATAATGTTCATCTAGATTATGTGTTAAAATAATTTGGCTATATTAAGATAAATCATATATATATAAGTAAAATTAATTTCATTCTTTCATTTTTAAATATAGCTACAAAAATATTTAAAATTGATTACTTGGCTGACTTCTTTCAGATAGTACTGTTCCAAAAATACAAGGATTATATGTTTGATTCTTAGGGTAATGTATTTATTAAAAGGTATAGTTTCAATTTGATAGTCCTTGAACACATAGGCTTGTTTTTCATCCCTGTCCTCTGTGGCCCTAAGGTGTTTGGTGAATTGACAGTGATTTGTTTATTGAATTATCAAAAATAGTTCTAGGTTATCAATAGCAGGACTCTCAACCTGTGCTACCCCCATCAGCTTCATCGGCATCTCCTGAGGCCGCCTTAAGAATGTAAACATAGGAGATCATCACAACCCAAGGAGATCAGGAACACCGGACTGCGGACTGCGGGTTGCAGTCTGTTTTAATAAAGGCTTCAGGAGATTCTCTTTCATTCTCTCATCAGGAATCGCTGGGCCAGAAAAAGGTGAGCAAACAGAAGGCATTAGGGTAATTTGTTGGCGATGTTTCACAATAAATTAGAAATACTGATTGGGCTAAATTCATATTATGATGCAAGACATTCCAGCATGGTGGGGGGGTGAGGTTTTAGTGCTTCACACCCAGAAACTTAAATCTCACTTCTCTGTTGAGGGCTTCCAAGTAGCTGTAACTTTCACAAGTAGACCTGCAGGAAAATAGAAATGAAATGAAAAACTTAACAATATTTTCACTTCTACCACCCTGTATAAAATGTTAAAGTCTATTGTTAGTGTCTCAAAATTAAGGCCACTAGCCATTTCCAGGTTTTTAGGGACTTAAGAGGTCCCTGGTTTTCAACAGTTAGGGGTTGATGCTGGCACATAAAGGCCACAGTTAACTCAGTGAATATCTTGATCCCAACCTCATAAAATCCTCAGTACCCCACAGAATGACTGGACCTTTAGGAACGCTGGTTACTGATGTACTGATGGATATGCCCAGACACAAATTCATATTGAGCTACAATCCTCAAGTTTTAAATGTGCTCTTAATTTCTTTGCCTTTGATTCTTTCTCTTTTTCCCTTCAATCATTTTAGACCATTATATTTTCATTAAAAAATTTTATTTTTGTACCCGCACTTCAAAGGAAGAAAGGACATGCTCTGACTGTTTTGTGTTTTTCCTTACACAAAATGAAAAATAAATCTAATTAGAACTATAATTAACTTGCTTTACTTAGGAAAAATGAGTCCTCACATAACAATTTGTATTCTGAACATCATTATATGCAGCCCTTTCTCCAAATCCAGGACAACATTGGCTATCACCAGGAAAAACTGATGATTTTATTGATCTAAATGCAGATTTTTGTCTATTTTTCATATTATGAACATCAAATTGAGTTGGGTTGCCCAATATTAATGACCGTTATCCACAATTAAGGGCAGTTCCAATCATTTCTTATTTTCTGTTGACCTATGCTAGTTTTATTGAAGATGAATGTAAATGAAGACAGGAAAATAATTTGCTCATAAATAGAATAAAAATGTAGTCCATGTGTCTTGTGACAATAAATGTCTTAAAAAGATGAACTAAGATTTTATGAGTTATAAAAATGTGATGAATGAACTAATAGACTTATCAATGACTCTACATGGAGGGAGAGAGCATTCTCCCATAGAATTTTGGGGAAAGATTCCATTTTACATAATTTAATTTCATCTTGACAATGTGATTTATATGCATAGTATGGAGAATGAAATACCTGTGTTCATAATGAAGACAGGGTTCCTATGCACACTTTGTTCATCCTCTGAACCAATACCGCATTCTCACCAGTCAGTGTACTAGCAACATTTTATTTATTTGTTTTATTAATTCCTACTGAAAATAATATACTTACATCATTGTTTACTTTACAGTTTAGGAGTTATCTATTTATTGGCACTAGAAAATTTAAACACTTAACTCTTTTCTTTCAACACACAGGACTCATATACATATTATCATCTTAATGTGATCATGTAAAATTGTCATTAAAACAAAACTATATGGTTTTAAATTACATAAATTTTCTTCATAACAGAATCTATAATAATCCATGATCATTTTTCCTAAATAATATTTTGAAATTAATATTTACTTCAATTCAGTTTATTTATATTACTAATGCACCTTGCAACTTCCACAGTTGTATAAATCTCCTCTCTCTCCCCCCGCCTCTGTGTCTGTCTGTCTCTCTTTTCTCTCTCCCTCTCTCTGTCTGTCTCCATAGATATGTGTGGTAGAATTTTGGGAAATCATGAAAGAGTTCTATTAAAATCTTATTATTCAACAAATGGATGGTGACCATTACTGTCACAAGGTATATTTACTACTAATGGTGAACGGTATCTCTCACAGACGCATCCTTCTGCCTTACTTCCTACAAAAGAAAACATTTTAACCTGTAAGAAATGGGTGGTAGATATCTATTTGGAATTCTCTCTCAAATTTTGTGACTGCTTATTTATTTGATTCAAAAGTCACGGCCATTGTTTTCTATGGACATGGATCATTAGTCAAGATATTCCAGTGGAACAAACAATGGTGCGTGTATGCGTGCGTGCGTGCGTGCGTGTGTGTGTGTGTGTTTGCAGAGAGAGAGAGACAGGAAAAGAGACAGGAAAGCAGAGAGAATGATTTTGTTTTTGTACCGGGGATCAAACTCAGGACCTTGCGCTTTCGAGGCATGCAGTGCAGAGAGAATGATTTTATCACCGACTTGAAAGTCACACATTCTTCAGGGCAGGCTGGCAGTCTGCAGGTGCAGGAGAGAGTTGCAGTTCAAATCAGAAGTAGTCTGCTATCAGAATCCCTTCCTACTGCACTTAAGGGAGCTCATATCTGTCTCGTTAGGGCCTCAAAATGATTGAATAAGATCCACTCACATTATGAAAAGTAATATATTTCATTAAAACTCCAGGCTTAAGTGTTATTGACACTCAATAAATATCTTCAGAGAATACATCCAGAATATTTGAGCAAATGTCTGGACACCATGATCTAGCCAAGTTGACACACAACTTTCACCGTTCTTTACCTGTGCTTATCATTTTTTATTTATTTACAAGTACTTTGAGCACATCAGCCTTCTCAGGAGCCATGACTTTAAAAGTTCTAATTGAAATGATTAACTAAATCTTCTTAGTATTTTAGTAATATTAACAAAACTGGGACATCAGAGCCTTACTTTAACATATCCCCTGAAGCAGTGTCTTACTGACATGTTCCTGGACTTGCTCATTCACCAGCAACTCTGTTTTAATCAGTGAGAGAGACAGATTTGGTGAAAAGCAAAGCAATAAAACCAGCCCACATTTTCTCTCTTTCATGCAAGTCTGAAATTGGGTTATCTATTTTCCTCTTAACTTTGTTAACATAGCTTTTTTCTGGTTGTATTTCTTTTGTGCTATATCTTACTAGCAACTACCAGATCATGATCTCAACATTGGATAGGAAATTTTTTCAGTCTCTAAACACTATGATTATTCTGTCTTTATATCACAAAAACCAATTTTGTGGAAAAATTAACTATGACATAATACTAGTTACCTTTTTGCCATTACTCAAGAGTGGAGTCCTTAAAATTTTTCCAGAGGCCTATAAATATTTTGTCACTGACCACTTGGTCCCAAACTACTTTTACGATATTGCCTCAGTTTAAAATGCTAATTTCTGCCAGGCATAGTGGTGTGCAACTGTAACCCAGTACTTGGGAAGCTAAGGCAGGAGGATTCCTGTGAGTCTGAGGCCAGCCTGGGCTACATAGTGAGTTCAAGGCCAGCCTGAACCACATAGTGAGACCCTGACTCAAAAAACCAAACTAAATAAAGTGCTAATTTCTGTGTTATTAGCTATTTCTGTGCATATCATGTTTCCTACTTCTGCTGTTACAAATTACTAGAGCTAAATAGCTTAGTACAAAATGAAGTATTGTCTTATAGTTCTGAAGTTCAGAAGCCTAAAATAGACATCACAAGACTGTGATCAAGGTGCTACTCGGACAGAATTCCTTCTGGAGTTCCTGGAGGACAATCGCTTTCTTTTGGTTTTCCACCCCTTGGTTTATGGTTGCCCTCCTACATCTGCAAATCCCTAAGTAGCAGGCTGATTCCTTCTCACACTGCCACATCTCTTGCTATCTATAATCTAATCATCCTGTAACCTTTTCAGAAAGTGCCTTCATGATTATACTGCCCCACTCTGATAACCCAGGATAATCTTCCTATTTTAAGGTTGACGCTAAGGCACCTTAATGCCTTCTGCAAGCCTCATTTCCACTTTCTCTGCTCTGTGACATTTTCACAGGTTGCAGCAATTTGGACACTGCCATCTCGGGGGCTGTTATGCTGCCCAGAACTCAGAATAATAAGGAGCTGCCGAATCTCAGGGACCTCAAGCAACACATTTATTTCCAGCTTCCACATGTGCTCCTGGGCTGGGGCTGGGGTATGTGGGTTGGGTTAATTGCTTGGAGGGTAAGGATCAGGTCTGGTTTTGTGAGATTCCCTTCTTCCTTTGGCCAACTCCTGTCTGAAGCATGTTTTCAGAAGAGAAGGCAGAAGAACAGAAGAGCATGCCCAATTTCACCAACATTTTCCAAACTATTATTTACATCGTATCTTTGTAACATCCCACTAGCCAAAAAGAAAAAGAAAAAAAGATGATATGGTCAAGCTCAACTGCTTTGGAACAGAAGAAATGCTCTCTTCTGAAGGTATGCGAAGAAAGATTGACGATTTGCTAGGAAGAAAAAGAAAGAGAAAGGAAGACCCAATTTACCTAATTTAATAAAAAATGTTTTCACTCACAACTAAAACTTCCTCCAGTCGTTTACATCTATAAATATTCATTAGCATCATTCAAATCCATTGTACCAATTATTTATTGTAGCATGCATTTTATTTCATCTCTTTTTACTCTTAGGTTAAAATATTTAAAGTAAATAATAAGCTAAAAATAAATAAAAATGAGTCATTACATTGTCTACCAGTTTTCACACACATAAAATTATATTGAATCTCTTGAAAAATGTAAGACCCACAAATATGTTCTGTGGTGAAATGGTCATACACCTAAGAAATTATTTTTTAGGAAGACTGCAGAGTTCTCTTTATTTGTGGTGAAAACCTCATCTCAAATAAGTACTGACATAGAAGGATGGTGCTTGTGTCCCTACAGCACTTCCAAGTCAGGACAAGATAATCTCTGCTGCATGCTTATTTTCAGGGTCTATTTCACTGAAACCAGTACTCATAAAATGGTCTACTTCAAATATTCTAGCCGGGGATTTAGCTCAGTGGTTCCTCCGCCTGCCTCACAAATGCAAGGTACTGAGTTTGATCCCTCGGTACCAAAAAA